AAAAAAAAAAAAAAAAAACAACCGCCCCAATATAAAAAAAAAAGGGGGGGGGGGGGATAAAATATTTTGAATACAGCATCCTTGAGATTAAAACTCTTCTCTGAGTTGAGAAAAATTAGATGGGACTATCGGAGTTAATGAAACAAAAAACAATTGGACTGATGATAAAGGTGGGATAATCTTCTTAAATTGAAGTTCCATACCTCTGGGGTTACAACTTATTTCCCTTTGAAATGTTTTGATATTTTTTCCTCCTACAAGATTATTAGGGCCAGAGAAGTCACAGTTCATGACCTTTTTCATTAAAAAGAACATACATACAAGTTCCCATGGGCAGAAGAATAAGTAGTTAAAACACTGGCAGCAACATTATGGGACAGATGAGAATGAAGAAAAGGAACTCCCACTTAATGCAAAGAAACGAGTACTGAGGAACCAGAAGGGAAAGATCCATGACCATGATTTCCAGAGGATAATGCAGGTTGCTGAATAGCTTGAGAGTGAGAGATACAACAAAAATATGTTGGCAAGTTGTTTCAACTCCAACAGAATATCAGAAAGGCATATTTGAGTTGAGTATCCCACAGTTTTTTTTAAAGTTGGAGTGAGAATGAAATAGAGACTGTGAAGTAGCTAAGATCTCTTTGGTCCAGGAACACAGACCATCATTCAGGATAGGGAAACAGATACACTCCCAGAAAACTGACAAATACTCTGAAGGAATTACGAATAAATGGGAATGCAACACCTCACTGTAAGTTGAGTTGAAGAAAGAAAACTTATGGAAATCAAAGACTTTGTCAAAGATAAAAAAACATGGATTCTGATAGAGTAAAAAAAATGGTAACTACTCCACAGTCCTGACTCAAAGAGGAAATACTTTGTCTAAAAAGATAAGTAAAAAGATAGGAATTAACAACTAATCAAGGGACATGCCAAGAGAAACAAGGAAAACTACTGGAATTAGGCAAATGTTTCAGAAAAATCTTCAAATGCAGCAAGGTATGTGAGGAGGAAAACAAAGGTAAACTCTCAGAAAAGAGAATCAACAACTTAAAGGCTATTAGTACCACAAAATTCTGAATTTGTAATCTCAAAGAATCTTAAGAAGTAGGGACTAAAGCAAAAAAACAACTCAAAAACTGATGCAGGTTCTAGCTCCTACATGGCACAATAACGAGAAATACTGTGGATTCACAAAGTGCTAAGAAAAAATGTGACTACTCCAGGAAATAACCTATCAAGGTAGAGGCTAGATAGATATAGTATCAAGTGATAGATGATAAACCTACAAGTATTATAATAGGGAGCCATAATCACATGAAATTATACAGTTATTCTGTACAAAGAAAATATTATGTAAAATTAAAAAGAAATGGTGGAATGAATTGGAAGTGTAAAACCTAGGTCTATTTCTTGCTCATGAACCAGGAGTCAATAGTTTAAGGATGTGTAGCAGTTCATTGTTAAGATTCACTTCATTTTTTAAACTTATATCAATGACATTTGTTATTTTTCATTTTTATTATCTTCTAAAATGGATATTACAGATCTTGTACATTTTCATAATAATAAAGTTTGTTTCAACAGTATTGTTCCAAGGTCAATGGATTACTGAAAAATAATCTTATTACACATATTTTATTATCACCAATCACAAGATACCATACTGTAATCTTATATTTCTGTTTCATTACACAAATAAGTAAATCAACATCAACTTACCTTCTTTACAAGTTTCTTCTATGAAAGAGCTTTCTGTATCTGTTGTTGGCATTTTTAACTGTTAAAGAGAAAATATTATTTTAACCTTATGTAGCTTCTGAGCAAAAAAAAATACATATAAATAGAGAATAAGTTTCATATAAACTTAGAGTATATGCTAAACTTGAATTTTTTTTTATAAAAGATGAACACATTTAAGTAGCAAAAGTTTTGTATTTACAACAAATGATGTATTCTATGCATTATAAATATTGACTCCTTTATGCACATTTTGTTTTGGAAGCCACACGAATGCGAAAGATGCCATATGGTTATAAGTTTTGACAGTTAAACAACCTTATTCAGTTTAGTGACTTAATTAACTTATTAGAACTAATAAGAATAGATATAGTTGTGGTGAGCACATCATAGTAAACATGTTTTGACTGTTACTTATAACCAAAAATAATTCAAAATTATGCCTACAGATGTTAAAAAACAATGAAATTAAAAGAATTAAACCTTAATGATCATGCTAACAATGCCTCAGAGGTTCACTTCTTTTAAATCTGTAAGACATTATAAAGATTACTTGATTAGTAAATGCTGAAACAGTCACTTCTCAAAGGAAGAGGGAGGATTGATTATGTATAATAAATTTCAAAATTTTAGGCTATACAAAGTTAATATTTTCCTACGCTTCTTTTGTTCAGTGCTGCTATCTATATGCTTACATTTTTTTGCTCGCCACTAGCTTTGAAACTCTCACCTACCATGGTTCTACTACGTCTTTCCATGCAGCAACCCTCCACCAATCAGAGCATGACACACTCTCCTGACACAAGTTATTCCCTCTATACTATTCAGCCTAACCTTTACTTTGAGATTAGGCATAAAAAAAGCACCAGAAGTGGGGAGGAAGTGTGAGGAGTGGAAATAAGTACCTATTGGAAATATATTTTCAGTGTAGGAAAATATTAACTTCAGATACAGTATCTTACCTCTCCTTACATAATAGCTAGAATCCTACATTGAAAAGGTGGAGGGACCAGTGCAAAAGTTACATAGAGGACCATCTATTGAAAAGTGTCCAAAGAAGGTCCGTGGAGTGTGCCCTCTGTTGAGAGAGAAATACACCTCTGGAAGGCCACACCACATCTTTACCAGGTATACTCTTTGCCCAATGAGGTAGTAAGTGATGTATAAATAGGTGGAAATTAGTTGGAGCACGTCCATTAAGGTATATATGTTGGTTGGTCCAGCTCAATATGCAACATAAACAGCCGGGAATCAACATCCAGGAGATGGCAGGATGGAGGGTTCTCAAACAAATATAGTAATGGTGTGGAAAAGGATGGGCCTCATGTCATAGATAGCTAGGAAACATCTATCTGAGTAGACAGGGCACATACGCACAAATCCCCAACCAGCACCAGCCACTCAGGAACCTGAGATCCAAACAACAGTAGAAATAGAAGTGCCCATGTGGTTATTCACTCAAATCCAAAAACAACTGGACTTATGGTTTCTGGTCCAGAACATATGAAATGCAACCTGCAAGTGGTATGCCAACCAGAGTACTTATCAGTCAGTCCAGCTCCTTGCAATACTGAACACTCAAGCCTCAGCGTAATGAAGGAGGTATGCCAGGGATACCCCAACCAACTAGTACATCATGTCTGTGGTAGGACGAGGGTTCCCAACCAACACATGCATGAGGACTTATGTTGGCTGGTACAGTTCTATTCCAAAACCTATCATATGGGAACCAAGATCCAGGAGATGGTAGGATAAGGGGTCCCACCCAGAGGGGTGAACTGCATTATGGTGGATCTACTCCAGTTTCTGATTCTACGGGAGGATCTACACTATATACACTGGCAGCACACCACCATCCTACTCTCTAGTGAATGGGATTGATCACATTCAGGAGGAAGCCTCCATGGTCCACCACCCCAGCATTTATTAACTGATAAGTGGTTAGGACTCCTGCACTACACTTGAAGGAGGAGGAGGGGCATGTTGGGGGAGTCCAGAGGAACACTTATACTGGAGACTGTGCAATGGGTGATGAGGAAACTATTTTGGAAAGCAGACCACCCCTGATTTATTCACTCAAAAGGAACTCATTTGAAATTAATGAAATTACAAAATACCATGTTATTTATAAATGACTCAAACTGAAATGGATAACATGCTTTTTATTTTTGATAGAAAATCTGTATTCAAGTATGAACATAAAATTAGATCAATGTCAGTAAGTCAGCTACAATACTTAAGCATCTTCAAAATCTTAATTGCCCACATAATAAAACATTACAGTATGCACTGTGAATATAAAAATATAACAATTTAAGAGGGGTTCTCATGTATATGGCCTTGTTTTATTCTTGTTATGTGTTATATAATGCATGAAATAAATTTCATCTGGGGAAACCTTTGAATTCATAAAAGTCACTCCAAATGACCACTGTTGTTACACTTCTCTTAGTCTATTTGGGATGCTTAGAGAATGACAAGGCTCTTTAGCCAGATAATATTTCCTAAAATATTTTGAAGGGTGTAAGGGTTTAGATATGTAAGCCACTTGCTAATATATTTTGTTACTGCTTGCATAATGAGCAGATGCCACAGGATTGGAAGTTCACTAACATTACTCCTCTTACTGAAGGTAATAAAAATTGTCTAGGTAATTATAAGCATAGAAGTCTTCTGTCAGTAATGGGAAAAGTTTCAGAAAGTCTGATAAAAAACGCTTTGTGAAGTTATTTAACAAAGTTTATTTTTTGGATAGCCAAATTGTTCCACTATGGAAAAATTCTTGATTTACTAATCTATACACTTTAAGAGGTTACTAACTGCTTATATTATTGAGGGTAAAAGTGTGGATTTGGTACATGTGGACTTTCAGAAAGGATTGGACAGGGTGCCTCATTAAAGGCTTATTAAAAAAATTCTCTGTATGGTTGTGATATATGTGGATCCATTGTACCAAGAAATGGCTGGAAAGAAGAAAACAAAGGGATGTTATAAATGGTGTTCAGTTAAACTGGATTACCAGAAGGTATTGATGATTTGGTTGATCAGTCTCTTAAGATATCCAAATAGTCCGTTGCTGCTAGTGGTAGGGCAAATAGAGTTTGAGGTTTTGAATAAATAGTGAATATAAGTTTAATGAAGTTATTTCATTATCTAGATAATTGGTTAGGGCTCTTTTGACTTTAGAGTACTATGTTCAGTCCTGAGCTCCTTACCTTTGGAAAGACATTGCACTGTTGGAAATGGTTCAAATAAGGGCTAATAGGATGATAATTGGGATGGAAAAGTTATCATATGAAGATAGAATGAGATGTCTGAAACTGTTTTCTCATGAAAAAGGAAGAGTTAGAAGAGTTCTTAGTGAGATATTCAAGATTATTAGGGGAATTGGTAGTTTTGTTCCATGAATTTTGTTTTTTAACATGTAAATAGTGAAAATGGTAGGACGAGAGAATGCAAATATAAATCTTAGTAGGGAAGGAGTCACCACCAACTTAAACAGCTATACTTTTCTAACAGGATAGTTGGACTTTGAAATGGGTTACCCACAGGGTAAAAGCAGTAGATATTTAAGGAAGTTTAAGGGAAAGTTTGATAAATAACTAAATGATCAGGCATGGATTTAATTTTATTTTCAGTGGATGATACAGTCTCAATGGACCAAAAGGACACTTGTTATTTTTTACCTTTACATTAATTGCTTAGTTATTTCTAAGGATAATAATAATAATGAATTACCTTTTATTGTATCTTTAACATAAATGGGATCAACAGGTAGATTTTATATTATTTATAATCATAAACAACATTAAAAAACAAATAAAATGAACAAATAATATAAAAACAAATATAGTGGCAAATGATCATTATACTCACTGATGTCACTAAAATTTAGAAACATTTTATATTTGTGTAAAACTAAATGGAAACTATCAGAACTAAAACTTTTGCAAGACCATTACAAATGATTGGAATATGATGGATGCATTATTTCCGGTGTGTTTTTTATTTTAATAAAAGAAAAAAAGAACTGTCAAACACAAAATTGTTTCTAATTGCAAATTATCAGTACTGAATTTACTAGCCAAGATAAAATGAAAACTAATAAAAAGATCAAAGATGCATGTTATATGCATCTCAGATATGGGATGTACAAAAAAACTGAATAAAAGATTATTACATACAGTAGCTTTATCATTTATTACTTGTTAATTTAGTTAAATTTTTGAAATCATTCAGGATGTTCATCTCCAGTTAAGATTTTATAGTTTCAGATTAGAAAATTTAAAGAATTACATCAAATAAAACAAAAATCTCTTTAAAAATGCAAGTGATAACATGTTCTTTGAAACCAAGTTATAAACACTGAATATTTCATTAAGACAAGCGTTCAAGAATTTATAAATATATATATATATTTGATAAGCATAAGTTATTTAAAAATTAACTTACAAAATGAACTTCAGAATATACTGATGTAACATAATTAAATTAATACATTTCTCACCAAACTTGCTGAAGTTTATTCATTGACATAGCTTAACCTCATGCTCATACTAGCAAACCTGTGTGTCTATCAGTCACATTTACAAGGCCGCTACAATGCAAATTTAATGCTTGAACTACTATTTTGCACTTTTTCAGTTTAATGTTCATTGGCACTATAATGAAAATTTAATTTCTTTAACCAAGTTATGAACAGTAATTAGTAGGCCTACTTATTTACATGCTCTAATGTAAATCAATGCCAAATTTGGGGTCTGTTTTCAGGGAACCCCTGTAAGTGTTGTTGAGAAATACTTGGATTCCCTAAGGAGTTGAGTGAAAAGATTTATCTTTGTGCAAGCCTTGGGTCTGAGACAATTCATTTGACACCATTTAGAAACAGAGAAGTCCAGTAGTTTGGGAAGAGTTACGTAACACACACACACTGAATCTTATTATGTAGATATCTATTGGGTTAGTACTAAGTAGAGCTAGTACTAATAGTACTACTATTGTAATTTATAGCTTAAAAGTTAAATGAAGAAAATGCTTTAGATATTTATTACCTGATTCAGCTAAACTTTTTAAGAATTTTAATTTTTTTTTGGATAAGACTTTTATTCCTATATTACAGTATATACGAATTTCACACTAGTGATTTTACTACTGTAATCTGGGGTTGTCCAGTTTCATCATATTGATTCAAAAAACTTGACTAAATGAAGTTTAATACTTGTAATATATTATACATCATTATACAGCAAAGTGCAATACTATTAATATTTATTTTTAAGTTATACTAATATCAATAACTTTGTTTCAAGTTCAATTTAATAATAATATTAAAGTACAAAACAAAAGTGTTGCAGATAATTCATAAAACTTTGCGGTTCTAATTAAATGTTACTGTACTATAATACTACTTAAATTTAAACTATAGTATCAAGCCTGTTAATAACTGAGCAATACTGACATTGATAATGGCAGTAAATTGAATAATACCAACAGTAACACCGTCTACAAAACAATACTTGAAATTTGAATCCATAAAAATTTTTTAAAAAGAGTTTAAGTTTAATTTCAATGCCCTGTTCCAACCAGTCTTTGGTTAAAAACAACGTAAGGAAATTAGTCTAATAATTGTAACTTAAGCAACAATAATGTCAGTTTTATGTAATATAAACATACATGAACGGTTAACAACAGTTTCGAAAGACAATTCAAAGAATCACTTGTTCCTCTAGTTACACCTCCACGATACTGGCAGCGGTACAACAACAACTACGTTGTTACATATACAGCACCATCTAATGCTAATAACTTATATTGTGCTTACATTACATGCCAAATAAGAGTTATTTACATGCCGTTAGACTGTTTCGAAATAAGTCTCCATTAACAAAAGCATTCTATTGTAATATAAAGGAATGAAGATAGTTCTCTACAGTTTTGACATAATTTAATAAATATTTTTTTTTATTAAAGACAGTTTCGATCATTATTGTTCTTCCGAGTCTGGGAAAAAGTTGCTGGTACGTGCTGTTCCATTTAAACAAATGTATGATGGAGATTTATTGGTTAATGGAGGAGAATTGAAATAACATGTGCACATCGTTTATATATTATTCAACTGTAATTTAGTTGGCCATACGATAAATTTACGATGCACTGACAAAATACAACGCTTCACTGGAGAGCCATGGTTCAGTCTAAAATGTGTCTAAATCTGCTTCACATCTTCCATCTTGGTAAGTATTTAGGTTGAAAACTAGGGGGTGTTCAAATGTTATGATTTCTATACACCCCTCTCGTGGGTTCAAAGGTGTGAATGGAGTGCTTCTTCTTTTTCTTAAAAAGAAAGAGAGAGAGAGAGAAAAGTGAACTACTTTTTTAGTGGTTTTGTTTTGGACTTGATTGACTGTCGATTTTAGTTTTCTTCTGGTTCTTGATTTGATGTGACTGTTAACAATTTTGGAAGGGTTTGAAAACATCCAGCGAGGCAAACTCACGCGCTGACACAGCTTTGTTTCCTTTCACGGTGCCTCCCATTGGCACAGCGGTATGTCTGCAGACTTACAACGCTAGAAACCGGGTTTCGATACCCGTGGTGGGCAGAGCACAGATAGCCCATTGTATAGCTTTGTGCATAATTACAAACAAACAAACCTTTCATGGTTGAATTTTTTTCCTAATCTTGTTTTGATCGATTAGAATGACGACTTGAACTTCCCGACGTCTTGATCTCATGTTCGTACCAACTCTGAGTAAAGACTGTATCTTTGTTTTTCAAAAAGTTGGTAGTATTGTAGTTTCAAATGTAATTATCCAAAAGATTCTAATGGTGAATAATAATAATAAAACGGGATTTTAGATCTAATAAGGAGCTGATAGGATCCTACAAGTTCTAATAAATAATTTTGATTTCTCTTATTTCGTTATGCTGACAATATATTGTTACGACAGCGGGGGTCACGTGACGCTAGTAACACGTCATATTCTCGAAGGTTCGTGAATGCTCGAGTGTTTACTAGATTTGCGGCATTCATGTATATAAGACCGCCAAGAAGTGACGGCAACAATGGAAGGTAATTGAACTGCAGACAGAGAGACTGACAATTGTCAGTCGTTCGTTGTGAATTATAGCGTGACTGTGGAAATTAAGTGTATTGCAAAGTTGTATTCAGAAAGAATAAACCAGTTTTATTTAAGAAAAGACTTGTATCGCTAAAGTTTCTTCGGAAATAATTTTTACGGAAAATTAACTAACGACCAGAAACGTAACAATATTTATTTTCAGCTGATTATGAGTTTCGTTGCGTTCAAATCTAAAGTAGAGTATTATCTGACAGGCAACTTATGCGCTTTTGCTCTGTATCAAAAGATGTTAGTAATTTAATAGATGGTACACCTATCAGTCTACACAAAATATACGAATCTAAATTATTTTTAAATGTCTTATTAAAACTACTCGTAAAATAAACTTATTTGAGCTTTCAATATTTTGAGGATTGTTTCCTTACCACTCCCATTATTAATATTACTGTACATTCTTAATGGTCTGGGATAAAGCTTCTATATTCTTGGTGAAATACTTGTCATTATTTTAATAAGTTACTTAGCTAAACGGGCCCAACCTCATCCAGTACTCTTCAGTTAAGGACCATAAACAGCGAAAAGACCCAATTGATGACCTAAGCCAGAGTGGCCATAGCATCTTTTTGTAGTTTTCCTATATAAAAATGACGGGGCAAGTACTACCTCCCCACCTCATAGTATATTCTAACCTCACATTTCATAACTAACTGAAATAAATAATTTTTACGAAATCAAATTTGGGCAACAAAGAGTCAGAAAAGTGCAGTCGATGCAGTCAAATGTCCGTAAATTCCTTTGTGAGCCAATCAAAATTAAAGTCATTCATGAAACGAATTCGTAGCGTATTCATAGAATAATTATTGGTAAAAATCAGTTAGATTAACAACTTCTAATACATAGAAAAGCCAGTGTATTTTGATAACACTACGTTTCAACAATAGCTTTTATATCATGTTGCTTAACAGCAAAAGTATAACCTAATATTGTTGTTAGTCTATGTACTGAAAGTATAAAATGAAATGTATAGATAGCGAAATTGGAAAAATGTTTGTTGATTTCTTAATTTTGAGTCTCCGTTGATTAAAGAGGTTTGTTTTTATTAAAAAGTTCGTGATATAACAGAAAACAGCTTATTTCAGAAATAATTTAAGTTTAAAATTGAATCGATATTTCTACTTTCATGATAAATTTTATGCACTTTGCTCTAGGCTAGGCGATCTTAACAGCCATTACACTTATTAGGTTTCATGGCCCACTTGCATCCCCGTCACTATACGTTAATACACTGAGAATTTGTGAACAATCTCTTAAACAAGCGCCGTTTCACCTATTAAAATCACTTCTGAGAAATTCAAACCAAAATGGAGATGCTGGGCTTGAAGCTGAAGACATCTCTGAAGCAGTAGTTCAACAGTCAAAAATTAAAAACGCAATAAGAAACAGAATGTGTCATATGAATTTCTACTTCAATCATTTAGTAAACAGTAACAAAAATGAACAAGTTGCATTGCCTCAGTGTAAAAATGGTCAACGTTTAAGAAAAACACCATCAGTTCTCAAATTTCACATCAAAGTAACCTAGCAGGTATTCACTCATATTTAGTCTCACAAAATCTTAAATACACTAATCGTACTGTAGACTAGCAATGCATCGTGGTTTAGATAAAGGGTTCAGAAAAAAAATAACAGTAAAATTTGTTCTCAATTACACTTTATGATCGCAATAGGATGTGCACATCACCTATTATCTGCAATTTTGTTGAACTTTTTATTAACGATGAAAAAATAACGCTAAAATTTAAACCAAAAAATATCTTATGAAGATATTTACTCTCTGAATCTTTTATAACTCCGCTCTTTAATTTTTGCTTTCTGAGATAACTTTATGTTTTTGAGTAATCTAACTTTGACTTTAATTTTCATAGTATTTTTCTAAACTTAGTTTATTGACTTATCTACTGCTTTTAATAAACCTAGTTAAAGTAGAGTTTCGTAGCTCTTGAGTTTTGCCTTCTTAGACCTTATGTCAAATTCCAGTCATATGTATTTAAGTGGATTTGCTAAACGTGAGGTGAAGGTCGAGAAAGGGTGGCACGAAGCCAAGTTGTTGGATAAAGTTACCATATTTTTCAATATCGGTGCAGGAAATTACAGCAGTGATGATGGAGACGTTGGCAACATTAATGTCCAATAAGAAAGATTTTCTGGGTCCCTGTGCCATTGCATCATACCATAATTTTAACCAAGAAAATGAATCCTCCTATTCTGAAGTCAAGTCAGAGGACTCCATTAAAAATAACAGTGCTTCCTTAAGATCTACATCTGAATTTGAAAATATCGAGTTTATTAGTGACCTAGCTGTGTGACTGATATTCAATGACTCACCAGAAGAAATTAAGACACTCTGTCAGTGTTGGATGAGTATTGATGTGTGTCTAAGTCAAAATGTCAAGAAAGGAAACAAACCGAAACATTTTCTAATATCCAAAAGACTGATTAGCAAGAAGTTTTGGCATTGTACTACTTATTTATTTTTTCCAAATTACATAATGAGGTGGTCCTGCAAGATTGTCTTATCTAATCTATAACTACTGTGACGGTTTTCTGCGTCTTTTGCTGCTTCTTTCTAGACAACATAAATATTTTATGTCATGGATACTTCTATAAGATGCACACATATAGTGCTGTCCATGACCACAAGAATAACTAAGACCATAAAAAAAAGATATAAAATCTTGGAATTCTCCGAGTGCCAATTCAAGAGTCATCTACAGTTTGTTGAGAGGCCAGGTGGATAGCAAAAAAATCTAATAGTAAAACGTATTAGAACAAGCTTTGTTTTTAAGTTTCTGTGTGACTATAGTATAGTTTCAGAGGAGACAATCTTTAGACTCATTACGAAAATTTCGTTGAAAATATCAAAGTTCTTGCAAGATACAATTAGTTTCTTGCAAATCATCTGAAGAATCATGGAAATCATGAAAGAGGAAATCCTCACTATCTGTTGTTGATCATAGTAGGTGAAATTATTTTGTTAATAGGCAGCTAATTTGAGAAGAAAATAGCTGAAGATTGGGAATCTCTACAGCTGTGCTTTGTTTCCCTCATGGAACTGGGTTATTTTGTGCAAAGATTTGAAAAGTGAAGCAGAAAGGAAAGTGTCACTGAAGTTTAGCCGAAACTTGCTGTTCATGTTGCTTTTCAGCTAGTTGGTATGTGCTTCAGAACTACATTATAATATAAGTGTTTTGGAAAGCTCTTTTTGAATCTAAGGACGATAAATGCCCAAACAAGTTAGAAACAAGTTTAAAACTGTATTCATGGCAAATTTCTGGACTAATGTCTTGGCTTGCTTTATCTATCTCCCCAATCTATCTATCTCTGCAATCTATCTCTTCGATCGAGCTGGTTTTTCTCGCCAGGCTTATATACTAAAAAGAGGGCGTCTCGAATGCACTCGGACCTTCATTATCCTTCAAGAAACTCCAGTGCGCATGCTCCCAGCGTCGCGTGACTTCCGCTGTCGTAACAATACTTTTCAGGTTTTCACGCTACTACAATAATAAATTATATTAAACGAAGTCATTACAGAGAACCTGAGGATTTAATTAGGGTTTTAAACTAAGTAGAAGACACACTTCCTAAATCCAACATTGAC